TACGTGAAAGGTCGAAAGGCAAAAGAGATTTGAAATACCTGCAATACTACGGCGATGGTGATTCCAAGAGCTATGCCGCTGTCAAAGACGTGTATGGAAAGGACAGTGTGCAGAAACGGGAATGTATTGGGCATGTCCTAAAGTGTGTTGGCTGCCGCCTCAGAAAAACGGAAGAAGACAGTGTGTGGACTTGGTGGTAAGGGAAAGCTCACTGATGCCCTCATTGACCGCCTGCAAAACTACTATGGCATCGCCATAAGGGCTAATGTGGGGAACCTTTCTTCAATGAAAAAGGCTACCCTTGCCAGTCTTTTTCATTGCAGCTCTGCCGACAAGCAGCCGAGACATGGCCTGTGTCCACTTGGACCGAAAAGCTGGTGCGGATACCAAAGGGTCGAAGCACTCGGCCAAGGGAAATATGTGCACAAAGGAGGACTTCCAAATGATGTGCTCAACAATGTTAAAACTGTCTCCTGTGATCTGTGCTCTGATGAACTTCTAATGAAGTGCCTTCATGGAAAGACTCAAAATGCTAATGAGCGTTTCAATAGTCTAATATGGCAGCGGGCACCCAAAGAGGTCTAGTAAGCTTGCCTACAGTAATGTTTGCCTTGCATGATGCTGTGGCACACTTTAATAATGGCAGTGTAAGCACCCTAGATATCCTGAGGCAAGCTCGCATAGAACCAGGGTACCGCACGACGAAAGCTTGCATCGCCAGGGATCACCTGCGCATGCAGAATGCTAAACGCAAGTCAGCGGATGGGACAAAACAGGCCAGGAAAAAAAGACGAGCAGCCACACGAACAAAAGGAGACAATAGGGCTTCCGCAGAAGGGCCAAACTATGAATCTGGTGCATTTTAGGCCTCCATGCGAAGATTATGACCCTTTTTACAAGCTCTGACATCTTTGTTTACGTTTTTCTGAAAATAACAATTTTCTCCAAATGTTGCGACGCAAACTTTCATAATGTATTTCTCAGCGTATACTTTGAACTGAAATTTTGCATAATGATTTACAACATATATATCTGTGCAGTGAACTAGAATAAAAGAAATCCATCGAATATTTTTCAGTTCACAGCTAAATTCTCCAACAGGTTCAGTCTAAATTGGCTCTTTTCCCCGTTTTTTTTTTTTTTGTTTTGTTTTTTTAGCATTACTTCCTTGATATTCACTGCATAATATTTTATATGCCAAAAGTTCTTTTTTTCTTACTCTTTTCTCTCTCTTTCTCTTCACTCGAAATTTATGTGCATTTATCTGGAAACAGTTGTTAAGCAAGTTTTTGGACCAGCTTGATTGATTATTTTCACTTTCTTGTGGCTCTGCCCCCTACTCCTTAGAGACCATGCGTCCCAGCAGTTCATATGTTGAAGACTGGATTTTGTCCCTTGTTGGATGTGATTTCTATGTGCTATTTCACATACACAACAGCTGTGAGCAAGGTCACCATTTAGGCTTTTGCTCGTATTCTCTCTTCCACTTATAGAGTTTGCCCTGTGCTGTATATTGATTGGCTTGGCACCAAAAACCACAGTTTCTTTCGCCAACTTGGAACGAAATGCTGGTGTTTAAGGGGAGACGCTCCTCGAAAAGGTTTTTTTTTTTTATTTCTAGTAATAGAGACTTGAAAAGTTTGTTATTAGTATAGTTTTTCATGCAGATTTCAAATATGCAATCATTTTTTGTGTAGCTGCTATAATTATTGAGTTATGCCATAAACAATAGCAAAAAGTTACATTTTTTGCGGGCACTCTTTTATGTACTAAACTTTCAGTAAAAGCACTGTGTCTGATCTTATTTGACTCTTGGTAGATTGAAAAGTGCAAATATCTATATAGATATGTCACAGAAATATTGGAACCAAGAAAAAAAAATTGTATTGAATGACTTATTATTTTCAATCTCCCTTGAAACAATAAGCTAATATTTTCACAACTAATGCTGGTAGGCATTGCAATTTAGAGTAGATATTTGCATTCTGCATGTGTTGAAGAATATGTGTGCCAAGTTTCGTTACTATACAATGAATATATGTTTCTAAAAAGCTGCCCGGAAAACGTGAAACTGTCAGAAAAAATGAAAATGAGAAAAACAAGTTTGAAAGTTCGCAAAGTTGGCATTTATTAGGAAATCATTCTTTTTGCATCAAATTGGGGCACAATGAAAAGTACCTTGCCTTGAATGCACTGCAAGTGTCTAGAAGTCCCCTGCACCATAGCTTGGTCCTTCACGGCTCTTGCGGTCAGTGTCCTCAACACGAGCTCTCTTCGCTGTGTTGCGACGGTGTGCCCTCGCTTCTGCAGTTTGCTTCAGGTTCATCTTCCTGATGCGCATGACGTCACAGTGGTCACCATGTGTGGCCAGATCTTGTGAAGGAAGAATTCCAATGCCTTCGAGCACTTCTTCAAAGCCCCTGTGGCCTTTGTTGTACCAGAGTACAGCAAGAGCGGTGGCTGTCTCCACAGTTGTTCTGGAGGCGAACTTTGTTTTTGGACATAGCAGCCATATCTTGCTGTTCAGCGATTCGGCTGCATTCTGTGTCTTGCCATGAAGGCACCGAATAAGGAGTTTCTCCTCTGTAAGGCGCTTGTAGATAGGCATAATTGCCAATCCTTGAGCCTTCGTCAACAGTGGGGTGTGGCGTGGTGCAGGCTCCCCCAGTGCTTCCGCAAGCTTGTGCTTGCACCACGAATTTGGTCCCGCGGGGCAAAAGTTGTGGCTACTGGCACCATCACTGGAGCAGCAATGAAAATACGATGCCCATATGGCAGTGTACATATTTCGGACACTGTCCTTGTTGCTCGTGATGGCAATCTTGTAATATGTTTGTAGTTTTATTATTGTCGCATCTTTCAGTTTTTCGCCTCGTGGCAGTGGCGTTGCCAATTTCCGTAGGGCAGTTCCCAAGCGCTTTGCAACGTGGTTCGTGCACTCTTCTTTGTCAATGGGGGTGTCACAGTATACATTTGCCTCGCAGACTGCAGTGTAGGCCTTGCTGTCACCATCACTTAGGAAGCTGGTGAATCCCAGTGGAGTTTCATAAGACAAGGTCCTCTGCCATATATTGACTGACAGCTGCCGCAGGTTCCATTGGATGGGATGAGCAGTCAGTGTTTTTTTGGCAAACTGGAAGATGAAAAGCTCGCCATATCTCTTCATTCTCCCCAAGGTCCCTGTGTATACTGCAAGCATGGCAGTAGTTCGAAAGAACTTCAAAATCGAGGCAGAGCCCCGTGTCCAGGGACACGACTGTGCCCACTCCATTGTGGCTTTTATGACCTCTTTTCTGCCAGGTGCCATCAAACATGACTGGCACATCTCTGCCGCCGACTGCGTCCTTCGTGATGTTTCGTGCCTGGTGCAAGTTTTTGCTCACTGCCGTCATCGCCGCACCATGGAGCTCCTTGCAAATGCCGTTGAATGTCTTGTGATGCATCGGGCTCGGAAGACCGAGAATCGCACAAAATCGTGAAAGTTGGTCGTGGCCTGCGCCTATAGCGCGTGCTGCCAGAACTGCCTTCACGTTTACAGCAAAGCTGTCACGCGAGCTGCTGCTGCCAAAACGAGCGCTCGTTCCTTGGTCCCCGGCCGAAGCAGTACGTCTCGACGTGTGCGTGAACGAAAGTGCAGATTCAGGGCAATCAGAATTTTGACAGCACAGTTCGAGGAATACCGAAAGTCCTTTGCGCTTTCCAGCTGCCTCTCACACGCTGAGCTTCCGTTCGCGGCAGGTTGGGCATTGCGCACCCGCCACAAGTGCCGTCAGCGCATCGATTTCGCAAAGCAGCATGTTCGCAGTAGCAGCAATCTACCGGTTTACGTTCACTCCCGAAGAATCCAATCTTCCTTTGGGATGCACTGACGAATTCCACGGCAGCGGCTATTTCACAACCACTGTCGCAGGGTTCGGTGACGGTGTTAGGCCTATCCGAAGTCGGAGCGTCGGGGCGTTGGTCGGGGGTGACATCGTCGTTCGCTGTCGCTTTGCGAAGCGTCCGACGCCGTTTCCCTCGATACTTGTGGCGAGTTCTGAACTTTCGATTATCTGAACTGCACTTCTTCGGGTTTGCCATGACGCAAAAATGCAGAGAAACGCAGAAAAACTCGATCGCGACGTCCGAGGCTTCGCTCTTTTGCCGGAGAGATAGGAGGTAGAGGAGCGCGGAGCGCACCGCCGTCCAATGGCGACCTCGCGCTGTGTGCCGCGATATTCAAAACGCATGACGTACGCGTTGTTTTTCTCGTTTTTTGTTTATTCTGCGTGAAGGCACGAGACTGGCTACTAGTGGATTATGAAGGATACGGCCTTCTTAGCATGCGTGCACGATTGCAAATGGCGGCCAACGCATCGTTTTCGCGACAGGACGACGCGAACTTCGCCGTTTTTCGCGACTTTCACGCATTTCTCGCGTCACCGCTGCCCACTTGGAAGCATTTTTTGATAATTTCTCGTGCGAATTTCAGCTTGATATTTTCAGAAGTAATAGATTATAGTCCAAGGATGCCAATGCAGCCGGAAAAAAAAAAGCGAAAATTTTCCGGAAAACCGCGACTTTTCGACCCGCGTCTCCCCTTAAGCCTAGTATCTTGACCATTGCTGCTTACCGCTTTGTGGTTTATTTGTGCCAGTTAATTTAATCAGCTAATATGTGCGACATCAAATATGGGCTATGCTTTGGTTATCCAAGCAGAGTTGTGCGAATGCAAGAAATGTGTGCTCTCCTATACCTGGTTGACCCTGTGTGCATTTCACGGAGCTTTGTTGTACACTAGTATAACTGTCTTAAAATTTCTTCTAATGGTGAGAAGTGTACACATTATTCCTGATTACCTGAATTTACCGCTTTTCGTAAAGTTGAAATCGACTAGTTTTAAGGAACTATGGTCTAGAGTGTGAGTGAGTGTGTGTGTGTGTGTGTAATTTTTTTTTCTTGGGTATCTTTTAATGGTGGAAGTTTGTGCTGATAGTTGTCTGCATTGGTTGCACTCTCAGACCAATGATCCGGAAAAAGTGAAGAAGGGAAAAGACGGCAAGCTGAAAGATGCAGACGGACGAACTGCGGTGATGCAAGCCAACGGCATCATGCACAATGGAATTGACGACGACAAGGTCTACAAGTGAGTGAGGAACTTGATGGTCATCACCTGGTGTGTGCCACGTTTTCTGCAAACTGTCAGGTTACTCATGCCAAGGCTACCAAGCTTGTAAATTCTGCTTAGTGGTTGTGAAAGAAAAAGGAGGGGCCATGCAGCTTTTAAATTTGTGCAACACCGCCTATACTGACACCGAAGCTGCACACATTATATCTGCGGTCTACAAGGACGCAGCTATTTACTTTTCTGGCAGCAAACACAGGAGGAAAATGGTAGCGACACATCTGCAGATGCAGCGGCACATTTTTCACAAGAGATCGAGTCTAGCCGTTGCTGCTCTCACCTTGGCAACTGCCTTACTTCACTACACTAGCCCACAATGCACTGCTGCAGTTATTTCAAGTGTTTGATTACAGTGTAGGGTATTTGTTCACTTTTCAAAACTAGTGCCTGTACAGTTACTTGCTTTTGCTTCTTCTAATGCAATGCAGAGGTACAGCAGGTGCAGCACTTACTTATATGCTGCCACCATTCCTGAACTCTGCTAAAGAGATGATCGAGTCGTTTGAGCAATCTGTGCCTCTTATGCACACGGTTGTATAGGACACTCACACATTCATACCAGGGACGGAAAATAGAAACAATTGTTCATTTGATTGAAATGCTGATTGGTCAAAATTAAACAAAAACCCTCCATTGCATTGTGTATAAACAGCCATTTAAAGGGGTATATTGGTAAGCTAGTCTTGATGAAAGTACAGTTAAACCTGGATACAGTTGAAACCCGCAATAACAAAACCCTGCGAGTACGAAATACCCCGCGGCAATGAGATATTTCCAGATCCCCGGTGAACGTTCATAGAAGCCCATGTATTACGTATCTCGCGGCAACGAAATGTTTTAGGACAGCGATCCCCTATTAACGAACTTTCTACCACGGTGCGGGCCTTATTACACAACATACAAAACATGCCGCAATGCGCACTTGCCACTTTGGCTTGGCTTGGATTGGATTGAATCTCCGTGCAATAATAATACGCTTGATGCTTAAAAGATGGCGCGTGCTATCGTCAGTGGTTTGATGTGCAGATGACATTATTGCGGCAGTGCGCGACGTGGGGGGTGCGAGAATTATGCGAGTGCGAGGATTACGCGAGTGAATACGGTGTGTGTGTGCGTGTGCGTGCACGTGCGCGCGGTGAATGACGGCGGCGAAAAAAAATCCAGCGGAGACTGTATGTAATTGCTATCGCAATAAAAAAAGTTTAACGTCATCAGGGCCACACTATGCGCGCGTAGTGAAACTGTGCACATGTGCACAGCGTCAAAACGAAGAGCCAACAACACGGACACAGAAACCACGGGAAACTATTTGATGAAGCGCCCTTCATAGCTAACGCGGCCTGAGATATGTCGCTAACTAAAAGCGGGGCACTGCCAATGCGCAAAAGTACTTTTCGTGTGGTTTCTTTGTTGGTGAGAGCGAGCGATCACTCCCACCTGGTCTGACGTGCGTGCCGGCGCCGCTTCGCGCTTTGTTGACCGCGGGGAAGTCGCGTAAGATGCACGCTCGTACGAAAGTGCCAAAATGCAGAGCAAAATTCCTAGATTGTCCGTGGGAAAAATTCGTTATATCAAGGTTGTCTCCCGCTATTACTTTGTTACATAGAAGTTGAAAATACATGTGCTTCTATGGAGCAATGGCGGGCAATAGAAAAACTTCGTTATATCGAGGAATTTGTTATAAGAAGGTTTAACTGTAGTGCACGGGAACTTTATTAGTGCATTTATGAAGTCCGAAATATCCAACAAATAAAAATTTTTAAGTCTGAAAAATGTGTCGACGACTTTATCCTATGCTTATATTAGTACGAAAATTCCGTAAAGCTGCTGTCAATTTAATTTGCACCTCATTCGTTTTTGCAGCCCTGTTGGGTACAGAGGCGGGGGTGGCAGCCGGCAAGCGTCTCCTAGTGAGGACAAAGGTGACAAGCTGTCCAAGGCTCCTCTAGAAGCCCTGGTCATGGGGCCAGGAAGTTCAGGGCCACCACTGGAGGCACACTTTGATCACCACACAATGGACTTAAGCTCGTTTGATTACCCACCACATGGACTGTTGCCTACCTCTATGGAGTCTCCAGGAATGCTCGACTATACCTCACAGGTATGTGCAGACATTCAAGGGATGCCCGACCAACTTGCATAATGTGCAGGCATTGTGAACTCTGCCTTTTTCACGATGCCACAACAGTTCCGCCCTCATAAATGGATACTTCAATGCCTAGCACATTTTTCTTTTTATAAATTCTTTTTCTGAAAATTATGGCATAGGACTGAATTCAAGCTGGGGATTAGGCTTATATTTCCATCCAATTTTAACTACCATCACAAATTACACACAATAAATTAAAAAAGTGCGCCATGGTTTTTCAGGAAAAGAATAAAACAAAATTCCTGCTGGAAATTTGATCAGCGTATCTTCAGGTAAAGTCTTCCCTCGGCCACCTTGAGTCGCTGACCATTTATTTGGACTTGGCGGGGCTCGCTGAATAGTACGGATAATTGAGAATCTGAAAAAATAATTCACCAGGAAAAAAACCTGCCTGCATCGTCTCAATGGTTGAAAAATCTTATCAATGCGCGTCTACACACAAGCACAATCACAGACGATGCAAGTCAGCCGCTATTTAAGCCAGTTTTTAGCCATAATTGTGGTTGTAGAACTGTGTCAGCCTGCGCAAAATAAGCATTTGATAACAGTGGTGTGGGCAGCGCTTCATCAGAGTTCACCTGCGCTAGTTCATGGACATGATAGACGATCTCGTCATCTTCCAACTCGGCACAAAGTTCAAAGCAACATTGTACAGTCGAATCTCATTAATTCAAACACGCTTAATTCGAACTTCCGGTTAATTCGAACTCACGATGAGGTCCCGTCAAAGCTGTGTGTATTTCAATGGGTGAAAACGACCAATAATTTGAACGCGCAAGCACTTGCGATAGTGAATTCGAACATACCGTATTTACTTGCATAATCCTCGCACTTTTTTTTGCCAGAAAACCGATGCAAAAGTTGTGGGGTGCGACAATTGCGTAGGGAAAACTTTCTACGAAAACGCAGAGAGCGAAAAAGAAAACGAAGTGGCCGCAAATCGGAATTCTCACAAAAGCACCTTACAGCAAGCTTTAAGAAGTACTAATTAGAATTAACCTCAACAATAAAAGCAGAGGTTCAACACAAGGCAAGATTTATTTGAGACACAAAAAGTGGAAGCAAATAGTCGAGAATTAGAATACCATACACAAAGCTTGTGGGCGTTGCGGTAGCGGTAGGCGCTCAACAGGGAGCCCTCAAAAAAGTAAGCGTAGGACGTCAGTATTGGGCTGATGGCTATTTAACAAAATCGTCCGCTGTTCCCTTCTGAAGAAATAAAGTTTACCATCAATCCCAGTTTTAGGCACACGGCAGACCTAACGTCTTGGTGGCTTTCAGCTGCAGTCACCAGTAGCGAACACAAAACTCGTAGGCTCCGAAGGGCCTACCGGCGGGCTTGTTGCCGTTGTTTAGCACATGATCTATCACTTGCAACTTGAAGCAGCCGTGTGGCTTCAGTATCGCCCCCATAACGTGCTAAGATTACCGACACAACACACAAAACACGCCGCAACGCGCACTAGCCACTTCGGCTTGGCTTAAATTGGATTGGATCTCCGTGCAATAGTATGCTTGATGCTTAAGAGATGGCGCCAGATGGTGCGCGCTATCATCATCAGTGGCTGGAACAAGCAGACGACATTATTGCGGCAGTTTTCGGGAGTGCGATAATTACTCAAGGAAAACATAAATCGTATTTTTTCTTGGGCGATGTGGGGGATGCGAGAATTATGCGAGTGCGAGGATTACACGAGTAAATACGGTACCGCGTTCCAAAAATGCTCTCAACACCCAACCCAATGCCGCCGCGGCACCTCCGACACCTCAACACTGTACGCGTAGGAAAAAAAAGGGGGAAAAAAAGACAATGGTGGAATGTTTGCTCTCTCTTAAAGGCCGATCTGTGACGTGCCTGTGCCACGCTTCTCCTTTTTCCGTCCCTGCCACGTAAAGACCCTTCTCCTTCCAATGCAGTGCGCAGAGAGAGAGAGAGAGAAAAAGCTGCCGCGGAGTGTGGCTCTGTCTCACGCGCCGGTGCCTTGCTTCCCTTTTTGTCATCCCGGTTACATAACCCTTCTTCTTTCAACGACACGTGCGAAGAGAGCAAAAAAAGCTGCCGTTGAGTCTTGGTTAATCTCAAATACCGATCTGCTTCTCTCCGCGTTGAGAAACTCCTATTTTGTCACATACTGGCCACGCTGCGGCTTTGGCGCAGAGGGTAGTTGCGGAGATGCAGTCGTCGTTGTCTTTAGAGAGTGTCGGCGCTGGACATTGCTACGTGCAACTTCTCATGCAAAGAGAACGCTGAAGCCGAAGTTGACATGCTTTACAAGCTGCGTGTGAAATTGACTCGCTGCAAGGCAAACATGTGCAGACGCACATGTTCGTTTACTTCAACTAATGGCAGATGTGCTGGGATTTGTAAATAAATGTAGGTCTTTTAAAACTTCGCCCTTGTGTGTTAGCTCAAGGCACATGTGCCACTGCATTTGGAGCCTTCTATTTACTTAGTTTTTATTAATTCAAACTTCTTTTAATTAGAACAAATTTTCGGGCCCTTCGAGTTCGAATTATCGAGATTCGACTGTATTGAGGTCGGCCGCCTTAGATCTGGCAGATGATTGTACCGATAGTGCAGATAGAATGGGTGTCGTCGAAGCCATTTCAGTAGATTGGGCCTCGCATATCATTCAGCAAACGATACATAAGTGGACACATATCAGGCCTAGCCACAGAAGCAACTGGCAGGCAAGTTCTCAAATGCCAAAAGGGAATGACATCAGGATAGTTTGTGCAGCAGCCTTTGTGGTTCTGTCCTTTCTTTCTCTATTTCAGATGTTGCACCGAGCTGACTCGAGAGAGTTGCTCGGCTTGGCTTGCAGTTTGGTCGTGGTAGCCATTGAATGAATACTCTGCTTTAGAAGAGCCATTGCGTCTAGCTTTAACACATAACTTTTGAGATCAGGAATTGTAATTTATACATTCACACTAGCCAGTGCAACTGTTCAACATTTCAGTGCTGGAAACCGAGCAAAAGGAAAATATTGTAAAAATTCCAAACAGCTGGTCATGTTGTTCGACCTCGCACTGAAGCTACCAGCCAGACTTCGATAAATTGAACAGGGCACCATAGGGCACCCGAATTTTCACTTGCGGGTTTACATTACGTCACTGCTATAGATGAGTGGTGGTGCTGTGGAGGTGTCCGAATAAACAGGAATGTCAGAATTTTCAGCATCCGAATAAGCAGTCGGTGACTGCCAGCAAAAAAACATCAAATATGAGAAAATGGGTTTTGATAGTTGCGAGTTCATTTTTTGGGTCTAGACTGACCATGCAGATTTTTAAAGTGTCTTTATGGACCTCTGTCTTTTGCTGCTTCTCCTGTTTGTTTTCTGGCTTTCTTTGTCAGAAATGTGATCACTGCGAGGTTCATTTAAGACGCCAAACCCATTTCAACTAGGCATTCACATAATGATGGTGCACGCGAAAGAGACGATCACAGGCTGCTACATAGATGCGGTGGTTGTGCACCAATTGTACGAAAGCTATTTGGCTGAGAGAAAGGTGGTTATATTCATTGGTTTACTTCATTTTTGGAACAAGGTCTGCGTAACACTTTCTCATGGTGCCATGAGCGTGACCGCCCGTGTAGAGTTGGGACGCCACTCAGGCAGAAAGCATGTCATGAGATTGTAAACATAAACGTAGAACTCTTGACTGTGCCATGAGTTAATGAAAAACGAAGTGAAACAGAGGTCGGCAGTACAGCAGCAGCAATGTAGAATATAGAGGTAGCATTAGCCAGAGTCAACCATGCATGGAGCAACCGCCGGAGAAAACTACAGAGTCATCCCACACAGCAGCCAATAGTGGCCACGTACTTACCCAATTCCTCAAGGAGCACACGCTTAGTTCAGATACAGCTTTGTGTCTGAGGTGAAAAAACTGAAAGCATAGGCAAATTATGCTTTGGCCGTACCGCCACTGCTGCGAAAAAATCGACTTTTTGAAGTTGACCTTTTCGGAATCTGCAACTGTTTTTGCACTTGTCTGAGAAGTTTCTAGCTTCTCGCATCATTATTTCTGGCACAAAATCAATTTGTGGCACAAAATCGATCTGTTTACGGTGAACGTGCTCGCCGCCCTCGCAATGGAGGCTACTGGGAACAGGTAGAGTGCTTGTAACGACGCGTCCGTAACGAACAAATTGCGCCGCGGCCTCCACTCGAAAATGTGGCACTCTTACATGAAAAAGAAACTAACACCTCGCTGCTCTTGCAGCCTTGAAATTGATAAGCGAGTGCGCTAGTTTGGTCTGTGACATCAACAACTCAATCTGGACAAGCCGGAAAACATCGCTTTATCATACGACAGATCGCTGATGACATGCGCGCATTCGTTGCACATAGGCGTCACCGAACTGATAAGCGGCCTAGTTGGCATACGAGCCCACGGCGACCGCATCAGCTCGCAAGTGTGCCTCTGCGGAAAACATGCAGTGTGCATTGAAAAAAACGACATTTCGGTGATGCAAAACAAGACTACATGCCTGGTACCTACTAAGAAAGCTGAATTTGCAAATCATTGTAAATAAACAGCTTTTCCATGCTACTGTTTGCCCAAAATGGACTTGTGCTACTGTTTGCCCAAAACGGACTTGTGTTTTTGCATGATTTCTCAGGATTCAAATTTCGCTGCAGTTGCAAACTTCTCTAAAAGATATCTCTGCCTCCAGAGCAGCTAGGACTGTCATTTCTGTTGTGACATGTAGCTGAATCTTTAGTTTATACAGTGGTAAGTGTGAAGTTTTTATTGTGATCTTCAAACATATTATTTTAAGCAGAAATTGGAGTATAAAGGGGGTTTGCTGCAACACTGAAATGCAAGGTGCAACAAACCTTGCTAAAATCATCAAATCAAAAAAGCACTCTTACGGTTGTGTGGCTTATGTTCATTAGTACACAGGCACGTGCCAATAGTAGCTCTGCAATACAAATTTCGTGTGTCACCATACCGGCAAACAATAGGTAAATAATTTTAGGATATCTAAAAAACTAATTGGTTCAGAGGAAAAGTAATTACATTTTTGAAATCAGCATCAAACACTCAATCACACTGAATTTTCTTTATAAGTGCATGAAAATATCTGGCATTTCTTCTCGAGTACAGTGTCCCCCCTTAAACGGAAAATGCTCGTGCTCGATGCGTTCAGGTGCCATCTTGAGCAGCAGATCAAGGACAAGCTCGCTGCGTGCAACCTTGTAGTCATACCTGGCGGCATCACGTCACTACTTCAACCGCTATATGTCGGCCTGAACAAGCCCGTGAAGGACAAAATTCGGGCGCTTACACCGACTGGCGGATCAATGGCCATGATTTCACACCAGGCAACAGGATGAAGCGTGCCTCTCTGCAAGACTTCGCTGCATGGGTGAAGGACGTGTGGTGTGCAATACCATCAGCCATAATCATCAAGGCATTAAAAAAATGTGGCATCTCGAATGCCATGGACGGTACTGAGGATAGATGCTTTGGGCCGTTCACAGCGATAAGGAGTTGTCCTACAGCGACGAGGACTGACCTATTACGCGACTCCTAACGCCACCGTAGTGGTCACAGTTTCAGCTCCAGGGCCGGCTTTTTGACTCGTGTTTTATCTTACGATCCAGTGCATTGAAACCCTAATACTTGTTCTCAATGTGCGAAGGTTGACTCCTGAGGTTTTTTTTTTTTTTTTCGCAAAAAATGGGTGCGTGTTACAATCTATCTTTTACTTTTTTTTTTTGTCGTGTTATTCGGGTGCGCATTACAATTGAGGGCGGGGTAGAATTGACTAAATATGGTACTTCTACGGTGACTTGAGCATTCATGATTAAAGGAGAGCTAGTTGACTACACTTGCAGCCCTTATATACAGTGTTCTCAAAATTGAGTTCATCTTTCATAATCTGCATCTTCTCTACAATTGTAAATGTGCAATTGGTAGTGTAGGGAGGTTTATGCGAGTTGATGTGCTTCTTTGCAGTTGTATCAGCAACACCATCAGCAACAGCAGCAGCAGCACCAGACGCAACACCAGCAGCACCAACAGCACCAGCAACATGCTCAGAGAGGTCAACACGGAGGCCCCATGGCGTTGGTACCAGGTGCCCAGTACTCCTTGGGCCAGGGGCAGCAGCAAGGAGGCGCACTTGGCGTACCACCTCCCGCAGCACCCACTCCTTCACCCTTTGCACCCCCTTCCACACCATACCTGCTGAACCAGGATCCTTATGGAGCACCACCCCATCCTCTGGGCATCGTCACGGGTTAGTACATGCTGCTGAGTGGGATGTTGAGGGAAGGCTCAGATTAGGTATTTGGCACAAGACTCTGGTGATTGTTGGGGCACCATTCTTCACAGTCATTCCTAGACCTAGTGGTGGAGCAGGAAGAGAGACTGCACAGGGATGACGCAAATGGTAAAGATATGGTATGTTTGGTGTTCACGCACGGGATAATCCTATACAGCCTATTTGCCATTTATCCGCGTAAGTGCAACCATTTCTTGTGTCTCATGTTCCCCTTTTGAAGTGGCAGTGCTTTTGAGTATACTCAAACCTCATTGTAACAAAGTTGCATGCTACAGAAAAATAAGTTTGTTATATCCCAAAAATTCGTCGTGAAGGGATATTTCAACACTGTGTATATATATTGCCAGACTGTTTTTTTGTACTTCGTTTTTCTTTCGGTGCTCTAAAAGGGGGGCAAATAAACAGTGTGGCCCCCCCTTTCTCGTTGCGGAAAATCTCCCAGATTTAGAATCCTTTAAGGGGAGACGCTCCTCGAAAGCACTTTTTTTTTGTTATTCAACTTAGAGCTTCAGAAATTGGACCACTGATGCAGTTTTTCCTCCTGATTCCAAATCTGTAATCAGTTTTTACATAAGTGCAATAGTTTGGGAGTTGTGTTTCAAGTAATGGTGAAACTTGATAAGTTTTCCGGGAACTTTCGCGCATACTAAATGTTCATGCAGAGAGTTGTTCAATGGCTCCTTTTGCTCCCTATTAGCCATAGAGTGCCGATATCTAGCTAGAAATTGTGCTCCAACTTTGAAACTATGAAAAAAACATCTGTGTAGCAAACTACCCTTTTTTTTCCACTCGACCACCATTAAATTTATTAATAGATATTTACAGCTGATAGGTTGTGCTGATTCAAGTAGATATCGGCACCCTACGCACTCTCCTCAATGTGTGTGCCAAATTTCGTCGTCGTATGACCATTCTAAGTGCCCGAAACACTTCCCGCAAAAAATGCAAATTGGCCAAAATTGCGAAATGAGAAAAACGCGTTTGAAAGTTTGAAAGTCTGTATTTACAAAAATGAAAAACGCAGTAGCACGAAACTTGTGCTGAACACATACACACATGTCCAGAGGGAATATCAGTTGTCTAAAACTCTCCAGCACCGTAGGTTTTCCCTTCCCGGCTGGTGCGGCAGGACTCTTCCACCCGGGCCCTCTTGGCTGCACTGCGACGGTGTGCCCTCGCCTCAGCGGTCTGACGCACATTCATCTTGTGCATGCGCATGCTGTCTCGGCGGTCGCTGAGGGTAACCAGGGCCTCCGAAGGAAGCACCCCAAGCTCTTCCAGCACCTTTTCAAAGCTCGCGTGGCCCCGGTTGAACCACAGGACTGCAATGGCTGTGGCTGTTTCCACAGCAGTCCGGGAAGCAAACCGGGTCTTTGGACACAGCAGCCATATTTTGCTGTTCAGGGACTCGGCCGCGTTCTGTGTCTTGCCGTGGAGGCACCGGGCAAGCAGCTTCGCATCTGTGAGACGCTTGTAGATTGGGAGGACTGCCAAACCCTGGGCCTTGGTCAGGAGGGGGGTGTGGCACGGTGCAGGCTGGCCCTGCGCCTCAGCACGTCGGTGCTTGCACCACGAGTCTGGGCCTGCAGGACAGAACTTGTGACTTCCAGCACCGTCTGTTGAGCACGAGTGCAAACATGAGGCCCATATGGCAGTGTACATCTTGTGGACATTTCCCCGATTGTTCACAATGGCCACCTGAAAGTAAGTTTGAAGCTTCTGGATGGTGGTCTCCTTCAGCTTCTCCCCTCGTGGAAGTGGCGTTGGCAGCTTCCGCAGGCCGGTGCCCAGACGTTTCGCCACGTGGTTGGTGCACTCCTCTTTTTCAATTGGAGTGTCAGGGTACACGTTGGCATCACAGACCCCGTTGTAGGCCTTGCTGTCTCCATCGCTTAGGAAGATGGTGAACCGCTGGGGTGTCTCATAGTCCACAGTCCTCTGCCAAATGCGCACTGCAGCTTCGGCCTCCATGGCATGCGAAGAACAGTCGCAATTCTTCTCACAAACGGGATGATGAAACGCCTGCCATGTTTCTTCATCGCCTCCCATGTCGTTATGCAAACTGCACGCCAGGCAGAAGTTGGAAAGCACTTCATAGTCCAGGCACAAACCAGTGTCCAAGGACACTACAGTTCCCACACCATTGTGGCTTTTGTGGCCTCTTTTTTGCCATGTGCCGTCAAACATGACTGGCACGTCACTGTTACCAGCCACCTCTTTGGTGACGCTGCGTGCCCTTTGCATGTTTTCACAGACAGCCTTCACTGCCGCACTGTGAATCTTTTTGCCGATAGCATGGAAGGTCTTATGGTGCATAGGGTTTGGCAATCCAACTACTGCACAAAATCGTGAAAGTTGCTCATGCCCGATACCGACGGCACGCGCTGCAAGCACCACTTTCAGGTTCACGGCAAAGGCGTCACGCGAACTCCCGCTGTCGTAGCTTCTGCTTGCACCGCGGCCGCCATCTGACGCGACCCGCTTCGACGAGTACGCGGACGAAAGGATGCTCTCCGAGCACTCCGCATTCTCGCAGTGTAGCTCCAGAAACGCCGAAAGGCCTTTCCGCTTTTTATTCGGTGCCCGAACTGCGAGTTTACTCTCGTGACAAACGGGGCATGCCGCGCCTGCGACGACGGCCGTCAATGCACCCAACTCGCACAGCACTACGCTTTCGGCACGATCGGCATTCGGCCTGACGTCGTTTTCGAATAACGCGATCTTTTTCTGCGATGCACTCACAAAATTCACTGCAGCGTTGATCTCGTCGTCGCAGTTGCCATGGTCGACGTTGCCGTGGTCGATGTTAGGCCTACCGGCCGCTGGCCCGTCGCGGACATTTTCGTTGGCGGTGGCTTTCTTGTACGTCCTCCGCCGCTTCCCTCTGAACTTGTTCTTACTTCTGTATTTCCGATGGTCGGCAACGGCCTTTTTCGGGCTTGCCATCGCACGAAAACAGCGAAAAATAACTCCGGAAAACAGTGAAGCGAACTACGGCAAGAAAACACGGGTGCTGTCAGCCAATGGCGGCCCTGCGTTAGTGGCGCGCGGTTTGAAACGGCGGGAAAAGACTGTTTTTGTTGCTTTTTTTTTAGATTTTTCGTGAACGTACGAGACTTCAAGAACCGGGATCGTGGAGAGTAAGGACAACTCTACACGAGCCAGCGGCCGCAATATGGCGGACAGCTCTCTTCGCGGCCCCGCGAGCACGCGAACAGCAGCCCGTTTTGTGTAAATTTCGTGATGCCGCGCGTCACTGCCGCTCACTCAGACGCGTTTTTCACTGACTTCTGATGCTTATTTCGCTGTGATATTTTCAGATGTCAAAATATAATGTATAAAGATGATAAAGCAACAAAAAACAGAAAAGGTGAAATTTGGAAAAAAAACGCGACTTTTCGACCCGCGTCTCCCCTTAAGGTCCCCCGACGGGGTAATACATAAGGGGGGGGGGGGTCGAACAAGGATACACAAGGCAATTCCAGACCACGAACATAAAGTAGGTTAAAATTCAGGAATTTGGAATTGCAGGGCAACAATACAAACAGATCTCGTTATATAACAAATAGCATGATTTTAAAAAATGAGAGAAAGGCAAGTGGCTACACAGAAATTACGAGGGTGTGGTTGTAAAATGAGTTTCGAGTAAGGTTTTAAACTTCACAGTATTTCGTTCGTTGGCTATTGCATTTGGAAGTTCCTACTTCAGCCACTTAGTGCACACTTTTTATTGAATGACGTTGCTGAAGAAGTTCAAGTTGCGTATTGCTGCAATGTAATCGATAAAGTTAAAACTATCTTGTCTCAGTAAAGTTTTCGCATATGGCTGCGTTCTGTGTAATGGGTAGCATGCTTTAAATGACGAACGATGATGCGCGTGAAATGTTTTCGAACTTTCCACGCACCACCTACGTGGATTTAAGGAAATGTGTGCAGTAACGTGTGTGCTTTTTTTGATAATGGGTGACTGGCTTTAAACCACGTAGCGGTAATGGTAATCGCATGTCCTGACGCCCAATTTCAATGTATACGCTCGTACCACGCAATATTACTTAGAAGAAGCGAGTGTTGGGCGGTAGATACTCCTTTGGGGATAGCATTCTTCACACAAAAAAACGCACAAGAAGGAAAAGAGCACAGACAGGAGTAAACTGTTTTTTTTTGTTTCTTTAGCAAAACGACATCCGCGATATTAGTGCTGCAATATTGCATGGTGTAATGTGAAGCCTGTACACATGATGCGAATTGTATAAAAACGCAGTGTATAAAAAAGGCACTGTATAAAAGGCACTGTATAAAAAACGCATTTGCGAGAGTTTTGCTGAGCATGCAGCAGCAGCAGCCTCTTAAAGTGAACTTAAGAGGCGCAATTGACATGGTGGTTGCTTCATGGTGGCAGGGAAAGGCCGATACCATAAGCAAGTGTTTCAAGAGGGCAGGCTTCGTGCGCAATGCAGAGGCTCTGGAAGACGATGAGCAGAGCGACACGTCGCTCGCCGATGAGACCCTCAACACTGACGTGTGGTCCTGCCTTGTTGACAGCAACTTTGTAACCGCCACCGACACTTTCCAAGAATTTGTCGATGCCGGGAAGTCTGAGCTTTCTGTCTGCAAGGAAGCGAGCACAGATGACGCGATCGTCGCAGCGGTGCGCGGTAGTGCGGAGGTTGCAACGGACGACAAGTCGGATGGCGAAGACGATGTCGACCCGACGCCAGAACCAGATTTCCCGTGCAAAGACGCATTGGAATACCTCGCTAAAGTGAAAACGTACTGCGCGAAAAACAGTTTGAGCGAGAAATCGCTTCAGTGCTTAAGGGGAGACGCGGGTCGAAAAGTCGCGTTTTTTTTCCAAATTTCACCTTTTCTGTTTTTTGTTGCTTTATCATCTTTATACATTATATTTTGACATCTGAAAATATCACAGCGAAATAAGCATCAGAAGTCAGTGAAAA